ATTTTTCTGATGCTTTTGTCAGCTATCTTTAATATAAGATTTTCAAAATCATTAACAGCAATTTCAGTATCAGTTTTACTATCATACTGTTTTTCTTTAAAACTGTCAATGTTATTTTTTAATATTTCTAGTGTTTCTTTGTATTGTTGCTTGGCCTGATTGTCCCAAATATATTTTGATGGTAAAAGGCCCAGTGTTGTGGTATTTTTGTTACTCTCCACACCCTCAAATGCATTCATACTCAGAGAAAGTGAGATTGCATAGTGATCGGATAAGTGTGATATGCTGTGAACTTTGAAATATTGAATAAAGTTGTACAAGTTTTTTGATTTAATGCCAAAATCAATTGTGCTACTCCCTCTAGGTGTGTGACATGTGTGAACCCCCATTGAGTCCCCTACAGTTCTGCCATTCAGAATAACAAGATTGCAGTCACTACAGAATTGTATCAACTTTCTACCAAACTTGTTGATACTAGACAATGAATTTACATCCATATTATTTCTACTACAAAAACTGTCATTGATATAGTTTGGTGGCAAAAGAAGATGTGTGTTATTGTTATCATCAATTACATCACTAAGGTTGCCAACTCTTGAATTAAAATCCCCTAAAAGAACATATCACCTTTGCTGGCAAATTTAATAACATCTCGTTCAAGGAGACTGAATAAATCAAAATCCTTATTTTTGTAAATGAAAGAGTTTTCGGGCGGAATATAAATACAACCAATGTATAAATCATTACTAGTAGAAGAGACTGCCTTATTAATTTTACACCAAATAAATTGATCAGTACTACCTTTCTCAAGAGTAATATACTGTTTGTATTTACTTTTATATAGTATGGCAACTCCCCCTCTTTGCTTTTTAGAATTACTTGATGAAAATTTATAACGCCATGGTCACACGTATACATGTAGCTTCACTGGTGGCAAACAAGGTGTTGAATATAAATCAGTGGATGCACGATAATGTTGGAAGCATCTATTAATAGGGGGGCAATTACCACATTTATTTTAACCTAACATCTTTAGTAGGTTTGTAACTTCAGTCATATTTGTTGGTTATGCATGTAACAGCACAAACATGTACTCAGGTGTAAAAGGATCACATTAATTTTGACCACTTTGCAATATATAGATTTGTGCAAGTTACTTCATAATATTGTATAAGGAGAAATGTAACAATAATAAGTAATTTAACAAGTAGAAAGGTTCCTGTGTTAACTAAAACAAGTCATTGAAAATGACACAGTCCCCGTAAAATTTTTGAAAGTTCTCTTTGTGCTGTCATATTAAAGCGAGGGGGGGGGGGGGGGTCGCGAACGTTTACTTGAAACTTGAGTTCCAAGTGGTGTATACAACAGATTGTTTATTTACATCAAAACACATGTTCCATGTAGTAGTAATATGGCCAAAAAAAAAATAAACGTTATTCGTCCATCTTTGATCTGATATTGAAACACACTGATATGTATGATGTATGTGCTAAATACGAATGAAAATGGTACATAAATTGTAGAAATATAGTAGTAAGGACAAAAAGTCAGATTGCTGTCAATCG